AATAGTTTATTATGAACTACAGGCTCATGATTTTTCTTTTTTAAAAAGTCAAAGTTCCTAAGAGTCTAGGAAAAAGATAAAACAAGAAGTTTCTCCCTTGTACTCCCTTCTCCAGCCTCCTTTTTTCTTATCCCTCCCAGGAGGGAACCAGAACTAACGATTTTCATTAGTGTTTTTTTTTTTTTTATCGCTGTTTGATCCACCTCACACGCTTAAAACTTTACCTGGAAATAACGTGAATACCTCATCATCTAGTTATGTGGGATGGGAAGGGAGTCTTCAGATCCTCCTCATCTTCACCAGAATAGTTTATATTTACATTTGGATGTTCCTGTAAGTTTTTGTCTAAAGAAAAGGAAGATATCCTAGATATATTCAACGTGATTCCTAACAAATGGGAGAATACTAGCACCCCATTTTTTTTTTATTAGAATTTAAAGATAGTCAACAGTAGTATTGAGGACCCCTTCTTCTGTGTAAGGATATCACCCTTAACAGAAGCATGGTACCTCCATTCTGCCTCTTCCCACTAGATTATACACACTGTTCGGACAAACATTCAAAAAATAGAAAATTTTTAAAAAGCAATTTTCCTGAAATTTTAAAAATGCTACTTTAATCTTAATTTTCAAGATTGAATTTTAGGAGTTGGAATGGTGAAATATTCCTACTTTAGCAGGCTGAATTCTCAAAGTTTACCAATGTGAGGATATTTTCTTGAAATTTAAAACCTAATAGTAACCAGAAATATTCATACTCATCAACTAAAATCTCCCCATCTGTTACTAAAAGATTGGCATGCAAGAGTGAGTGTGTGTGTGTGTGTGTGTGTGTGTGTGTGTGTGTGTGTGTGTCTGGGAGTACACACCCATACATAACACAGTGAAGAAGGTCCTCAGACAATATTATTTTAAACATTTCTAATCATTCTCAATCATTTGATTATACCCATCCCCACTCTCATGTAAGAAAGACATAGTTCAGTGCCAGGTGCAGAAGCTCAAGCCTATAATCCTAACACTCTGGGTGGCTAAGGTAGGAGCATCACTTGAGATCAGGAGTTTGAGGCCAGCAAGAGCAAAATTCTGTCTCTACAAAGAGGAGAAAAAATTAGCTAGATACAATGGCATACGCCTGTAGCCCCAGCTACTTGGAAGGCTGAGGCGGGAGGATTGTGTAAGTGCAGAAGTTTGAGGTTGCAGTGAGCTATGATGACACTACTGCACTCTAGCCCAGAGATAGAGCAAGACCTACTCTCAAAAAAAAAAAAAAAAAAAAAAAAAAACCCGCATACTTCGGAAATAAGTTAATGTATCTAACTGAAGCTCTCAGTAAAAATATCTGGCATGTATTCCTTAAATGAGAGGTTGGGGGCACCTGAAAATCCCTCTACACCTCAGAGCACCACCATTCCTTCTGTAGGAAAAAAGACAAGTTTGTTTTGAGGTGAGACAAAGCCTCTCCAGAATCAGAACGATCTACTTCCCAATAATTGACAAAGGGCCAGTGTAAACCTTTATAAAGCAGGAATTCTTTTTTTTTTTTTTTTTTTTTTGAGACAGAGTCTCGCTTTGTTGTCCAGGCTAGAATGAGTGCCGTGGCGTCAGCCTAGCTCACAGCAACCTCAAACTCCTGGGCTTGAGTGATCCTTCTGCCTCAGCCTCCCGAGTAGCTGGGACTACAGGCATGCGCCACCATGCCCGGCTAATTTTTTTTTTTATATATATATATATCAGTTGGCCAATTAATTTCTTTCTATTTATAGTAGAGACAGGGTCTCGCTCTTGCTCAGGCTGGTTTTGAACTCCTGACCTTGAGCAATCCGCCCGCCTCGGCCTCCCAAGAGCTAGGATTACAGGCGTGAGCCACAGCGCCCGGCCAAAGCAGGAATTCTTAACAGGTGCATTATTAATGCTTCTGATTCTCCAGTATGTAGAACACTAAAAAAACCTGATCTATGACTACCAGTGAGCCTCAAAATAAAGGATCCTATTATACATTACACCTGTGGGGAGTGGGAAGGTAGGTGCTCATTATACCTGCTTGCTGCATCAAACAGTACCAAACTCAGAGTCTGTACGTATCAACGAATTGTTTGCTCTCAGTCAAGTAACACCAAGGTATAGATGTTTCAAATTTTGAAGGTGTTAAACTGCTATATTCTGCTAGACACCAACTATGGTTAATAGATTAGTGAAACGCTTTACCAACCAGTCATAGAATTTCTATAGAGAAGAGACAAATCCCTCCCTAGAGAAACTTAAAACTAGACCAAACAAGCAAGTCTAAATACATTCTTACCCCTTGGGATTAAGCTATCTCCCTTCACTCAGATTTCTACAGTTTAGGGGCATTTTTAAGAACAATGGACAGTTAAGAGCCATTCACTTAGAAAAACGACAACTTTGTTCCTGAGAAAAATGCATTTATTCTTACTGTAACTCAGTCCAATGCCAACATAATCCCTTGTTGTGTACATTTATTCTGGAGCCAGCATGACCTTCTTTAGAAAAAGAAATGCTATCTGGTCCCTCAAAAGGGATTTTCCAACAGACAGGAAATGGCCTCCTGAAATTTTTTTGCGGGGAGGGGGGGAGCAGGCAAAAACTACATTTAGTGGTTCTTTTACTTATTCTGAGAAACTGGAGAAGAGTCACTATGAGAGGGATTATCCTCACCTAGCAGCTTATAAATTGGTTATGGTTACCAGTACTACAAAAGACCCATTTCACTGGCAGCTTAGTAAAAGCCACAGGAAACACTGATTTGTTGAACCCCAAGCATACACTTCAAATTGGCCTGAATATAATGGCAGTTTAGAGAAAGTAATAATCTGCATACACCTGCACAAAGACACCTTAAATAAATTTCCTTATTTTTTCACTTCCAGTCTCTTCTGTTTCTTGACACACAGCAGTATTGAATTTTTTAATATCTGTTGGGTATTAAAAACTTGTGCCTCTTGGAGAACTCCATACCATAGGACAGGTGTACAGAACTAAGAACTTTCCAAGGCCACATACTACACACCAATCATACGCAAGAATGCCATCAGGTTTGAATGTAACCAATGAAAGATCATACATAATGGGGGGAGAAGGGTTACCTTACGAAGGATGAATGCACGAACAAGGAAGAATAATATTCCAGACATAATTCCAGAAAGCAGTGGAGACACGAACCAAGACATCACTGGAATAAAACACATTGAGAAAAAAAATGTTAAATAAGGAAAATCAGAAACCAAAAAACACTTTAAATGTTAATGTTCTATTTTTAAAACTCTCAAGTCTTCCCCCCACTTTATACCATAAACTCCCATACACAATGCCATGGTAACATATGACAAAAATAAAAATGAAGAAGCCATTCAGAATCAAACATACCAATTTTTATCAGTTCAGACCACTTGACACCCTTCTGTCCCTGCGCCACGAGGGAGAAACCAATGGTTGCGCCAACAATACAATGGGTCCCAGAAATGGGGAGCTTCAAAAACGAAGCCACTAGTTGCCACACAGCAGAACCTGAAACGGCCAAGTTTTACTAAGTAAATGAACAAATTCCATTATGTAAGCAACGCATTTTGAAGGCAATAATCTTAAAGGTTCAGCACAAAAATGGAACCACCCATGATATGAATTTGCTCACCCACCACTAAGGGGACAATACATAAAATGAACTCACCAAACATAGCACTGACTGAGCCAGCCACCAGCCGCCCCTGGGTCGAGTTGTACATCTCCACGTCAATCAAGCCCTTCCGGATGGTTTCGCTCACTTTGGCCCCCAGTAAGACTGAGCCCACGGTTTCAAAGACGCTAGCTAGGATACACGCTTGCTTCAGGGTCACTACACCTGAGCCTACAGCTGTACCAAAAGAATTTGCTACATCATTGGCTCCCACGGAGAACGCCAAGACAAATGCAATAATAAAGCCTAGGATGACCAACCATAGGTGCACGGACTGACCAGAAGCGGCAGTAGCAGCTACAGTACTGACGATCAGCGTTGCCACGGTAGATGCCATTCTCTATAGTGGTTTTTTTTTAATTAACAAGAGAATTACCGAGCGGTTTTCAAGATGTGTAAACAGAATATGAGGTATCAAAAATGCTATAATAAATAATATATATTATATAAAATTAAATACTGTAAACTACGGCAGAGAAACTGAGCAGGGAGTTACTGCTATACGCTGCGTATGGGCGTCTGTTGTCTGGGGGCTCTTTGGCTCTGGAGGGCTAAAAGCACGGAGCGGAATCCCATGGCGGAGAAGAGAAAGGACGAGAGTTCATCCTGGGGGAGGGGGAGAAAATGACAATAGCGGCGGCCCTCAGCTCGCCGCCCCAGCCCCGGGCCCCGCAGGGCGCGCGACGCGGCGAGGCACGTGGCGCCCGGGCCCCCGCCGCCCGCGGAGCTCCCAGCCGGACCCCCGGGCCGTCAGCCCGCGCGCGCTAGCTGCGCGCAAACCGGAAAAGGGCCGTTCCCGCGCGCGCCGCCCGGGGACCGCCAAAAAAGGCCCGCGGGCGGGGTGGGGGAGGGAAGCGGACGGAAGCGAAGCCTGAAGCCCGCCGCGCCGCCCGCACCCGCCCGCACCCGCCCGGCCGGCCGCCTCCCGCACCGCGGCGTCCGCGCCCGGAACCCGGGAGAAGAGCAAGCCTCTCCAGGGCGGCGTCGCCACTCACCAGAGGAAAGGGCGGAGCGGGAGACGAGGAGACCGAGGCGGCGGCGGCGGCGAGCTGGAGCTCCGGACGCACGCACCTGCGGACGGCGAGCAGACCGCACGGAGCAGCGGAACAGGCGACGGCTCTGCGGTGCTCTCGACCCACCCGGGAAAGCAGCCGCAGGAGCCTCAGCAACCGAGGAGAGGAAACACGCAGCGCGCGCCGGCAGCCATCACTCTGGCGGAACACGCCGCCGGCCCATACTTATAGGCGGCGCCGCGACCCGCGTGACCCGCCGCGCCTCTCGCGGGCCCTGGAGCCCCGCCCCCGGCATGACGCATCCGTAGGCCCTGCGCACCCAGCCGGGTGAGCCCAACGGAGGCGCTCATTGGTCCGGTCCACACCGCGGGCCACGCCCCCAGGCAGGAGCCGGTCCACGTGGGGCCAGACAGCCCCCTCCCTTCGGCCTCTTGCGGGCCTCCCTGCGCCGTCCGGCTACGCCGGCTGGCGACCGCGGGGTGCCCTCGCCTTGTCCCGGAGGTCGCCATGCTTGCGGGGTTACAGAGGCTGCGACTAAGGTCATTCCTGGTTCCTCCCTCGCAGGCCCTGTTTTGCAGCGCTGGCCGCCCCTCACGCCGCACTTTCGGCGCACTCGGGACCTGCTGCACCCGGTGGCCACACCCTTCCCGTCTGCCGGGTGACGCTGCGGGAAAGCCTGCGGCCTGAGGCTCCGGATCCAGTTCTGGCACGTTATCCCACCTGTGACTTGCTCTTGGCCGGGCACTGTCCCTCGCCTGGGGTAGGGGGAGGACGCTCACGTGGTGGCTTCATGCACTCGGGTGAAAACAGAAGGACTTAAAAGTCACAAGAACCAGCCCGTCTTTCCAATTATAGCACAGAGCTACGGGATGGCTGTGGGTCATTAATTTCCCTGTGGCGGTGGTGCGGCTGTGGCCGGGTGAAGGACACTGCTTCAGATTCAAATTCTGACTCTTTGCTGCAGTGTGTCACCTTGAGCAAGTTCCACATCTCTCAGACTGCGTTCTCAGGGACGTGAAATGTTAGCAGTCGGTACCTGCCCTGTGGTGGGAATTACATAATTACACAGGGAATTAACGCCTGTGCACGTGACTAGAACTCAGTAGATGTTCAGGAAATGCTGATTTCCGTTTTGTCCTTTCCGTGAATATGCCTGTTTAAGGATGTAGAAAAAGGTGTAAGGGGATGTTCTCTTTGCATCCTGGAAGCTTTCTTATCCTTTTGAGGTGGAGATTGATTTCTGGTCCCCTATGTTGTGTATCATATAGTTTTGACATTAAGGTTCGTTCGGCACGTTTGGGGGCATTTCATTTTACAATTTAAGATCAAGACTAACCGGTCACTCCATGGGAGATTAAGTCTTGGTCTCTTGTCAGGGTTGTAATGAGATTAAAAAATTCCAGCCAGAAATCCCCACCAGGCTTAGAATGATCTGAAGCCCTCCCCGAACTTGCCATCTCTGACTGGGCACTGAATAGCAGAAACAAAGACATTGTAAATTGTTGCTGTCTGAGTCATCTATAGAGGCTTAAACTCAACCTGAGTGTCCTCTGACCTACCTAAAACATGTGATGGAGTTATATGAGTAATTAAGAAAGCTATAGGCCCCAAGGTCGTGTCTGAAAAAGAAAGTTCATGCCCAGGAGTACTAACCCTGGAGTCTAATCCTGGCACCTTAGAATGAACTGCTCCCTCCACCTCCCTTTGCCTCAAGGTTATGAAAACGTTGAGTAAAAAGACTGATCTGGTAAAAGTCCTTCATATTCTGCCATTTAAAGGAGTAATTTTCAGGCCGGGCGCTGTGGCTCACGCCTGTAATCCTAGCTCTTGGGAGGCCGAGGCGGGCGGATTGCTCAAGGTCAGGAGTTCAAAACCAGCCTGAGCAAGAGCGAGACCCCGTCTCTACTATAAATAGAAAGAAATCAATTGGCCAACTGATATATATATATAAAATTAGCCGGGCATGGTGGCACATGCCTGTAGTCCCAGCTACCAGGGAGGCTGAGGCAGGAGGATTGCTCGAGCCCAGGAGTTTGAGGTTGCTGTGAGCTAGGCTGACGCCACGGCACTCACTCTAGCCTGGGCAACAAAGCGAGACTCTGTCTCAAAAAAAAAAAAAAGGAGTAATTTTCAAAGCAGGTTTTTGTAAGGAAATTGCCTAGAACTTTGCCGTGTGTGTGTGTGTGTGTGTGTGTGTGTGTGTGTGTGTGTGTGTGGTGTGTGTGTGTGTCTTTCGGTCCATCCAAGGGGCATGCTTTTGATGGTCTGTGGTAGTAGCTCTTAAAGTTGGCAAACACTTGCTGGACCACCACTGTGCCGTAGCCATGGTGACTATCCTTCTAGGTGAGAGAAATACCTTCCAGGCCCCAGGGGAGAGTTTGCCCTGTGAGTGCTAGGGTGGAGATTCAGAGGAAATTCCCTTGTGTTACAAATGAATCCTGTCACTGGCTGCTGGCTCTGGAATGGTCTTATCTTTCCTCTTTGGGAAGGAATCTTTACCATTCCAACACGCTGACTGCCTCTGCCTGAGGGTGGGAGAGGCCTTCACTGGCTTACCTCCCAAGAGGGAATCTTTGGGGAATGACCCTTAGAGACCTAGACCAGCCTGGGTTGGAATACTTTCATCCTCCCATAGGAAAGAAGAGGTGGGGCTCTATCTACCTGTTGAGAGCTTTGAAAACAGAAAGGAGGTATAAGGTCCACCAGTTAAGGAACAAATGTCATTGGTTCTGGCCTTCTCTGTGGACACACTGGGGAAGAAGTCCTGCAGATAATCTAATCTCTGTTAGAATCCAGGCATTGGTACAAACACTGTCTAGTATTTTAGGGAGGCCTTTGGTCTAGTGGTTAAACATGCAGATTGTAAGACTACCTGCTCTGCTACTCACTAGTCATGTGGCAGTGAGCAAATAAATTCTCTGCCTCGGTTTCCTTATCTGTAAAGAGGAGAAATTGTTAGACGTGGTGGCTCACACCTGTAATCCTAGCACTTTCAGAGGCCAAGGTGGTGGGATCACTTGAGCTGTTCGAGACCAGCTTGACCAAGGGTGAGACCCAGTCTCCACTAAAAACAGAAAAATTAGTGGGGCATCATGGTGTACACATGTATGCCAGCTACTGGGAGGCTGAGGCAAGAGGATCAATCACTTGAGCCCAGGAGTTTGAGATTGCTGTGAGCTACAATGATGCCACTGCACTCTATCCCAGGGTGACTAAGTGAGACTCTGTCTCAAAAATAAATAAATAAAATGAAAATTAAAAAAAGAAATAAAGGGAAGAGAGAATGAATGTTCCTACTTCACAGGGCTGTTGTGAGGACTAAATGAATCAATGTATGTAAAATTCTTCCAGAGGGCTCTTACTGTCTTTAATCAGCAACAAGCTGAAGGCCTACTGTGCATAGCTCATGTTTAAATAAAGTGTGTGTCTGGTAACAAGACCCACCCCCTTCTCCCTGCCATCTGGGCCAAGCTCTTTCACATTTTTCCACTGCTGATAGAATGAAAAACCACGAAGAACAGGCTGCACAGAGGCGAAGGACCAGGGTTGCAACATGTGGCACATGGATGGGCTCTCTGGCCCAGCCCAGACCTTGACTGCCCATAGGATCTTTGGTGAATCCCACCACTGAGCCTGTGAGCCCGAAGGTCCCTTCCCACCCTCACCTTTAGGACAGAATGAGACAATTTGCTGCATGCCACAGAACCCCAAGCTAGGCACTGTGGGTTTGGAGTTTCCTTGGGGTGATTTCCACTTCCGACTAACTCAGTGGGTGGACTTGAGCTATTGAGAGGTAAGAAAGCTGACGCCACGCCCAGCCCCTCCAGCCCTGAGGAAGTCCAGACAGAAGGAGGAGACAATACCACTTTTGCACTTTCTAACCTCAGGGACACAGTCAAGGAAATGCATCTGAGGTCACTGTTCACAGTGCATGAAGTCAGTATCCTGGAAATAGTCTGCTTGGAGGAGGGGGACTCAGTGGGCTTGGACACATTGTGAAGCCAGATCAGGAACAAAGGCAGCTTCAGAGGCCACCCATGAGGACTTGAATGGGAGCAGGGGAGAGAACATCCAGGTAAGAGAAGGTAGGCACCTTCCAGTGAAGAAGAACCACCTACAGGCCAGGCGCGGTGGCTCACGCCTGTAATCCTAGCACTCTGGGAGGCTGAGGCGGGCAGATTGCTTGAGGTCAGGAGTTCGAAACCAGCCTGTGCAAGAGTGAGACCCCGTCTCTACTATAAATAGAAAGAAATTAATTGGCTAACTAATATAAATAGAAAAAATTAGCTGGGCATGGTGGTGCATACCTGTAGTCCCAGCTACTCGGGAGGCTGAGGCAGGAAGATCGCTTGAGCCCAAGAGTTTGAGGTTACTGTGAGCTAGGCTGACGCCAGGGCACTCACTCTAGCCAGGGCAACAAAGCCAGACTCTGTCTCAAAAAAAAAAAGAACCCTACATACCAGTCCCCATCCCATGCCCAGATGCATGAGGTTGCAGATGCATAACATCTGCAGTGCAGTTGAATGCTTGCTCTGTCCCAGGCTGGTTCAGGTGCTCTGCATGTGGGATCCCATGTGACACTCTTCATAAAGCTCTGATGAAGCACTTTCACCTTATTTTACAGATGAAGAAAGGGAGGCACAGAGAAGGAGGCAAGAGGTAAAGCAGTGAAGAATCTAACAAATTTAAAAATTGTGAGTGCTTTTTCCCAGGGTGCCAGTAAGTGCAGAGTTAAGTGTGATAGACCTAGGTGTTAACTCTTATTTGCACTTAAGTTAACACATTTACAACCTCCTCCTTCCTCATTTTGATTAACTCTGTTGCTTTTACAGCCTATGTTTTAAGTCTCTTCAAACTCTGTTGCAGTAGAAAAGGGCATTTCTAGGAGACCAGTCTCCAAGATTGGCCCCACTTTCCCCAGAATAGGAAGAGGCAGGAAGCCAGAGCACATGTTCTCTCCAGAAATAAAGTAGTTGCAGTGGCCTGATCATGTCTTAGAGTTCCTGAAAGCTCTGTTCTCTTGAGACTTCTCAAGAAAGGAAACCTATCTTGCAAGACAAAACCCACCTGTAGTCCATTCCTACAAGAAATAGGTTCAAAATAATGTTTTCAACAAGGACCAGACTTCACCACCACTTTGCCAACCTGCTTTGGATGTGGCTGGCCTCTCTGTCTCCAGACATTTCCCGTTCCCTCACCCCCCACCCTCATACAGGACTGGGCACCCAGCATGTGTGGTTCCACCCCTACAAGGTCCTGGGGAAGCTGAGGACCTGGGTTGGGGTTGGGGGTGGAGTTCTGTCAAGCACCCAGGCGGCCAGCTCTGATGTGGAGACACACTGGTTGAGGCTGGTCTCAGGCCAGCGCCCCACAGCAAGCAAGAGCTGTGGGAGGTGCTGCCGGGCACATGGGTGGGTCGTGTCTCTGCTGATGCAGGCATGTAGGAGTGGCCACCCACTCTGACTTTATGTGCCTCCTCCCTGGCCGCTCATTGCCTGGTCTCTTTGCTTTGATTGTGAGTTCACACAAGTGGGTGTGATGTGGCCTGAAAGCCAAGCAGAGGGAGCAGAACCACAGGCCTTAGAGCTGCAATGGTCCAGATGTTTCTGGTCCTCCTTTGAGCCAGCTTCCAAACAGCACAGCATCCTGAGTACTTCTTCAGTAATACCTCTCTGGAGACCTAAACTAGGACTCCTTATTTTCCCCAAGCTTTCTCAGCTCTTACTTGGGGAAGAAAGGCAACTCTTTGGAAACTCAAGTTGCTGGCCCTGTGTGTGATGAAGATCCTGTGGCAGGAGTGAAAGGGGTCAGCTCGCTGCCCCCACACCCCAGGACTGTGGTTAGGCTGAGAAAGTGGTGGTGGTGGGGGCAACAGGACGTGAGTCATCCACACAGTTATCCCAGGAGGAGGCGGAAGGTAACAGCATCAGGCTCTATGTGGCTTCCCAGCCCTCTATCCATTCATTCGTTCATTCCACAAATAGCCTGTTGTGGATCTAGTGGATCAACAGGATGGACCAGCCCACTCCCTCACAAGGCACAAACTTCTCCTTTAATTTAGTTTCCCACCGACAGACTGGCCATGCACACAACAGCCAAGGAGGTAAAGTCAACCTCCTCCCCTCCCACCCCACCAGACTTGCCATTTCTGCATGTGACCCCCACACCCCTCTTCCAGTACAACCTATCTATCATTCAGTCTCTGGGCAGACACTTCCAGAGCACAGGAGACTGTGACTGTGCCTCTGGCAGCTTCCTGCTCCCCAGCATCCCTCCCCACAGGCTCAGGGCCCCTCAGGCATTGGATCCTCTCAGCATGACAAAGCTGTCCCAGAAGAGCCCCACAGGGCCCATGGGGGACCAAACATTGTCCATCCTGGGGGAGTGACTAGGGCCTGGGACTGTACCTCCGCTTTGCTGGTCCAGAATTCAGGTGATCTTCGACCTCAAATGGGGGGCTTCAGCTGTTGGGAACTGCCTCATGGGAGACTGAGGTTCTGAGCAGAACCCCATTTCTTAATTTTCAGTGGGGAAGTTCATTTCCAGTGATGGGGACTGTCTTGCCCTCTGCCTAGAGCCTTGCTCCTCAAAGTGTGGTCTGAGGACTAGCAGCAAGGGAGCTTGCAGAATCTCTGCCTGCAGCCCAGACCTCCTAAAACACAATCTGCGTTTTTTTTTTCCCCTTTGAGACAGGTCTTGCTCCATCACCCAGGCTAAAGTGCAGTGGTGTCATCATAGCTCACTGCAGCCTCAAACTCCTGGGCTCAAGTGATCCTCCTGCCTCAGCCTTCAGAATAGCTGGGACTACAGGCTTGCACCAACACACCCAACTAATTTTTCAATTTTTTTGTAGAGATGGGGTTTTCGCTCTTGCTCAAGCTGGTCTTGAACTCTTGGCCTTAAGTGATCTTATGGCCTCAGCCTCCCAAAGTGCTGGGATTGTAGGCATGAGCCACTGTGCCTGGCTGTAATCTGCTTTTTAATAAGGTCCTCATGATTTTTGCGCACATTGCACTTTGGGAAGCAATCACCAGGAGAATGATGGTTCTTGCTACCTGGTAAGTTTAGGAACAAAATGTTAACAAATTCTTTTCCTGTCAGATATTTAAAAACCACCATTTTTTTCTTATTTTAAGTCATATTTTTCTGAGCCAACACTCCTACCATTTTAAGTAAGGAGTAGTTCGCACATGGGCCCTGGGGCCAGACTATCTGAAATTAGAATCTTATCTCTACCGTTTATCTGCTATGAAGTTGGGCAAGTTGCTTAACTTCTCTGTAAAGTGGAGATAATAGGGTTGTTATATGAGACTTAAATAAGGAAAGGGCTTAGCACTATCCCTGACAGTTAGTGATGTCCCTAAATTTTTTATGCACTACATTTACCATCTTTTAGGATGAAGTGCTTCTGTGTTTGGTGGTCTCGTCTCTTAGGCACAAATTCTTCCCAGCTTTACTTTCCAAAAGTGACTTTTTTCCTGTGGGCAACTTACAGCAGTATATCCCTAAATATATCCATTTCAGGAATGTTAATTTCTTCACCCATTCAACACCCACCATCTGCAGGGAATTGAACTTTTTAACCGTAACCTTGGATAATGCCTCTACCTTTTTAATGACGATTATAAAATCAAATTTTGATGATGAAAACCTTAAATATATATAGGACTCACCTTTCTGATTCTAGGTACCTTCAAAAGCATTGTTTCATTTTATCTTCACATCTGTGTGATGTAGACAGAGCAAGTGTTAATATTACTACCCTGTCTTACAAAAACATGAGCGTCGGAGCCCACAGCCACATAACTAGTAAGTGGGCATAGGGAATCCTGGCACAGTGAGCCCTGGTAGGCATTGGATGTATGAATGCTTCCGAGCCCAGTGTTCTTATTATCCTGTGTTGCCTCCAGATTCAAATCATAGGAACAACTTATACTGATGGGGATGCAACGTTCAAGCCAGGTAAGGGAGAGAAGGGAAGAGAGTACCTCATGCAGTGACCCCTGTTGCAAATTCTCTTCTTCATTGTCCCCATAAGAATTCATATTTCTCAGACTTGTGTTCCAACTATTGAGTTCACAAAATATGGTTGCTGAAACCACTAGACTAATAGGGGAAGTGGTTTAGGGCAAGAGGAGCTCAAGATTTTTAAAAATTATTATAAAAGGCCGGGCACGGTGGCTCATGCCTGTAATCCTAGCTCTCTGGGAGGCCGAGGCGGGCGGATCGCTCGAGGTCAGGAGTTCGAAACCAGCCTGAGCAAGAGCGAGACCTCATCTCTACTATAAATAGAAAGAAATTAATTGGCCAACTAACATATATAGAAAAAATTAGCCGGGCATGGTGGCGCGGGCCTGTAGTCCCAGCTACTCGGGAGGCTGAGGCAGGAGGATCACTTGAGCCCAGGAGTTTGAGGTTGCTGTGAGCTAGGCTGACGCCATGGCACTCACTCTAGGGCAACAAGTGAGACTCTGTCTCAAAAAAAAAAAAAAAAAATTATTATAAAAATAAGACATGCTCAATGTCTATAAAAACTGTACCATAGAGAAGGTTATCAAGTTAAAAGTATACCTCCTGTGATACTTTCCTTGTGATACACACACATATAAGGTATTTATACTTTTCTCTAATATATATGTCATTTTTATTTGTTTAGTCAAATGAAATCATATGGAGTTTTACATGTCCTTTGGTTTTTTTCATGTAACATTGTCTTAGATACCTTTGCATGCCTTTGCATATAGATCTTTCTGATTTTTTTTCCTTTATTTGCATGACAGTCCATTATAAAGTGGAGGGGGGTGGGGGGTCCTGGTGCAAGCCAGTAAGCTGGGTCATGGGCTGTGTGAATATTTTCACTTTATATGATACTGCCAAACTGTACCTTTAGATGCATACCCAGCACATAAGAGAAAATGCCAGTTTCAAGGCTGGGGGATGGTTTTCGATCTCCCTGAGGTTACACAGGTGGCAGGTAGCCTAATGGCCCACCTACATCTCCTTTGCCAATATCAACCTCCCTCTTTAGCATCTCTGTAACTCTCAGTAAAATGAAACTGAGGATGAAACCTTTGGACTCTTAACCTCAGCAGGGTGGCTTTCTCTTTGCCTCCCTTGCCAGCCTGTACTTTCCTTCCTTAGCAAGCTTGTCTCTTCCTTCACACTGGCCTCTCCTCCATCCACCCCCTCCTGGTCTGCCCTTCACAGCCAGCCCAGTCTATGAGGCCTCCTTCCCACAGGGTTTGGGGGGTACGTTTGCTTTTCCAGTGAGGTCATCCTACCATCACCTCCTTGTTTGTTGATGTTCCCTGCCGTTGGCAGGGCGGTTGTTATGGGGTCAGCATGGATAACCAAACCCCGAGAGACACAGCTTTGCTGCTAGGAACTAAATCTGTAGTTACTCACCACCTCAGCGAAGGCCGGCTGGTAGAGCTCGCTGCCAGGGGCGCTGATGAAACAGACCAGCCCTTGCCCTCACCTCCCAGTGGTTACCCACTGTCACTTCCCGTCTGTCTGCTTATGCCTGGTCGCCCAAAACAAGGAGTACTCACTGATGTTTACAGCCCTTGGGGTGACTTCTAGCCACCAGTTCTGATGGGGGAGAGAAGATGTAACAAAAGGAGAATTGCTGGTGCTGGGGGCTCAGCCCTGAGCTGAGAACACCTGGCCATCCAGCTGCCTGGCTTCCCTCTGCCATCAAACTGCAAGAATTCGGACCAGGCCCTGTGGGGGCGGGGAGCAGGCACAGCCTGGCAGACCCAGCACATGATGGACAGATACGATGGACCGATACAGGGGTGCAGCCTGTCGTGAAATGCAAGATTATTAGCATCTCCATCCACCCCTCCGCCTCACCTGGCTGTTTCTCCCCAGCAGGTTCAGTGCTTCTCTCTCTGTCTCCTTCCTTTTTTGCCTCCGAACATCACTTTTATCTGCTACATGCTTCCTGAGATGGTGGTTTACACCCATTACCATCCTTCCCCTCCACCTGCTCTCCTGGACTCTGGAATTTGTTGCCCCTTCCCCAGCCCTGCTGAAATTCCTCTCACCCGGCTAGCTCTAGACTCCCTGAGACCTTCTCAGTGCTCACTCTCTCTGAAACCACCGCGATTGATGATACTGAGGGAGCCTTCCTCAGCCTGTCTTCGCTGACACCTGTGTGCACTGCACCTCGCCAATTCCACAGCATCCTTCCCCACCCCCAATGTCTCTCTCTCCACGTGTCCTTTGGGGTCTTGCCTAATCCCTCCCCAACCTAAATTACCATTCCCGTGCACATTTCCATCAAACCTCCATCTCCTGGTCCACAGTCCTAAATGCAAGCTGCATATCCCTTATGTCATATGTAATACATATGACAAAATCTCGCAGCTTCTCACGTCCCAGCCCAAGCAGCCACCCTCTCGTGACTCCTCTGCTTCAATACCTAGAGCTGCGTCTCTGTTAGATACACTGAAGCTTCAAGCTTTGTGTCCTTTGACTCCTTCGACTTTCACACTGTGTCAGTCTTTTCGTCCTCTGAGATTTCCCCCAATCAGCGCCTCTTTCAGCTCCGGCCCCTGCTGCCTTTCCTGGCTTGTTGGGTCCTGGGTGAGCCAGCCCTCTACGCACTCTGCCTTCCTCTTCCTCCTCACTTCCTGGAGCAGACACCTCGAAGGCCCCTTGAGATGCAGACTTTCTCCAGTCCACTCCCTGCTGTGGAACTTCCTTCTTCCCTCTGGGCTCAGTTTGCACCTTACCTGGTATCTAAATTCATCTCCAAAATGCAGATGTCTGCCTCCTGCAGTGGGTCTGGCGCGATCAGCCCCTCTTTGCCTGTGTGCTTGCTTTGTCTTCCCGGCAATATCAGAAGCTCCTGGAGCACCTTTGCATTTCCTCACGCCCTGCTGGGAGGGGGTTGGTACATTCTTAAGCTCAGGGGCAAGACTTGGAAGGCAAATACATGAGGTAGACAGGAAGGAAAGTGTGTGGTATCATAGAGAGTGAAAGGGCCTGTGCTGGCCAAACAAAGCCCATCCGTGGGTTGAAGGAACCCATGGGCCACACCAGTTTGAGGGCCTCGGCCAGGTGTCTGGCCCTGGCAGGGCTTCCATAGCTCCTTCCTTATGATTGCCCCCAGGGGCAGCACTCGGTCCTCAGCGTCTGGAGGAGCACGTGGGGCTGGGTGACCTGATTTCCTTGGCCCGAAGGTGTCAGCTCCTCTTCTCACCCAGCCGGCTGTGCTGCACCTGACCTCAGCCGCTGCCCCAGGAGGTCTAACCAGCAGCAGATTTTCTCACTCATTTACTAAAGAAAGAGTGGGCCTGCCCCTCCTCCGCTCATGACCCGCTCAAGGCCAGCCAGACCGAGTTTGCCCAGAGAGCAGCATCCTTATCCTCTGAAGCATTTGTGAAGCTCCATTTGCACAACACTGACTTCTGTGGTTGAAGGACTCCTCAGGGCTGATATGGGGGGTGGGATAGCAGGTGGGGCTTGGGGTGGAGTCAGAAGGACAAGAGGAGAAAGACAGGAAAGAGAGAGACACACGCAAGGGGAAAACAGAGCACGTGGAAACCAGGCCCCGAGTTTTGACTCTTCCCGTGGCCTGTCTCCCACCCCTGCCTCCCCAGCTAGCCCAGCCCTAGTCCAGCCCTCACCCTTGGCACTTCCCTGGTGTTTCCCAGCCACCAGCCTCAGCCTGCTGCAGCCTCCACAGCTGGCCAGACACATCTGCTGAGCCATTGCTTCCTAAAAGTCTTTTCCCCGCTGCCTACAGGACAAACTCCAGACGGTTCTGTCTGGCTGCGGCTTTCCGCGCCAGGCCTCCACTGTCCATCCAGCTTTATTTTCCACTGCTCCACAACGGGGAGGATCTCTCTGCCCAGTCCAGCTTGTCACCACCACCTCCCTTCAGCGCACTGAAGCAAGGGGCCTCATGGGGTTGTCTTAGAAAGTGAACTTCCTCATGAGTGATAGCTGCTCCCAAGCGTAGCCCTCACTTCCCTCCTTGCAGCAAGCCTGGGAGCGGCATAGTTCCCCAAAGTCTACAGATGAGGAGAAAGTGGGGCTCAGAAGAGGTCGGTCACTTCTCGAGACCACAGGGCTACGAGCGGGAGAGCTACAGTCTCAGCTCAGGCCCATTTTACTCTGAAGTTCAAGGTCTTCTCATGTTACCCTACTTAAAGGATAGCCATAAGCTCCTGGGAATGTGGGCTATGCTATACTTTTTTCCTTTGACAACGAGTACAGCGGTGCCTTAGTTCATTCAGGCTGCTGTAACAGAGCACCACAGACCAGGTGGCCTCTCAGCAACAGAATTGCGTTCCTCACGGTTCTGGAGGCTGAGAAGTCCAAGATGGAGGCACTGGCAGATCCGACATGTGGTGAGGGCCGGCTTCCTGGTTCACAGACAGCTGACTTCCCACTGTGTCCTTACATGGAGAAGGGAAGAGGGAACTCTCTGGAGGTCTCTTTTATAAGGGCACTGATCCACCACCCATCATCCATGAGCGCTCCACCCTCATGATGTAATCACCTCCCAAAGGCCCCACCTCCAAATACCATCACACTGGGAGTTAAGTATTAACATATGAATTTGGGGAAGACACAAACATTCCACCCACGGCATACGGGTTACAACTACAGTATGTAACAAAGCAGGACTCAGTGGATATGAACCATCATTCCTTTTTTTGTTGTTTTTTGTTTTTTTTATCTATAAAGTTGCTCAAGTTCATTTTAAAAATTAAATTTCCTCCCCCTTAGCAGACAGCACAACGCTGTCCTCCTAGAAGGTATTCAGTAAGGTTGGAAGAACAAAAACACAATGCCAGTCAGGCCCCGACACAGGCAGAACCCGGCTGGAATGTCCCCATCAGGGCTTCTTTCCGGGGCGGCCGCTACAGAATGGAGCTCAGGTGTGCGTTGTCTCTTTGTGAAAGATAAGCAGTTAGCACTGTCAGAGAACAAACAGGACCCACGTAATGTCGTGATTTAAGTCCAATGTTTTACAATCTGTGTCATTTTTTACTGTGACAAAAACGGTTTTGCCCCTGGAATGTTGCTAGATTGGGATGAGAGATGGGGGCACAGCCTTGTGTTCCGCCCCCAGCCCTGTATCCAGGTACCATACGCTCGAGGGGAGGCACAGCCAGAGAGAAGGGGACGCTCCAGAAGGCGCTGCAGGTGAGTTAACTGTCACGCTTGAGTAGGTTATCACCTGCCATTATTCCCTTTGAATGGCTAATCAGTTGTCCTTCAACCTCTGCTTTAAGAAACTGCTTTTGAGTGCCAGAGGTCACCTCTGAAGTTCAGGTTTATTTTCTTCACTTCTTAAATTGTGCGGTCTCTGTACAAAGCGACAGGATAGCTGAGTTTTATGAATTGAATCCCATTCGCTGCTCCCTGGCCCTGGACAGCTCCTGCCATCCTGCTCCCAAGTGAAGTTCCTGAGCCGGCAGTGACCCCCTGCCCAGGCAAGCACAGGGAGGAGATGGGCACCTGTAGACCCCAAGGTGCAGAAATTCACCTCCTCTCATTCACTCACAAACTCTTTTTGGCCACAGCTTTCCCAGGCCAGGCTCCCTCCAGAAGCTCAGCTGAGCAGCCGGCCACCTAGATGGAATTGCCTTACAGTACAGCGTGAGAAAGCCATCATAGATGCAAACAGAATAGGCTGGGGCAGCAGGCAGAGCTCACGAGTTCTTCCTAGGCAGGGGGATGGGTGTGTTAAAAGAGTGAAGGAAAGATATGAGGCCCTGAACAGGGAAGTTGCAGAGAGCAAGCCCAGGGCCCAGTCCTTGCCCGGAGCGTGGGCATCGTCACTTTCCTTAATGAGGCCGACTCTCTGTCTGCAGATCAGAGTGGGCTGAAGCCCTCATTTGTTTACAGCTTAATCCTGATCTAATCCTGCCTTGGAAGCAAAGCTCTTGTCCCTTCAGTAATGACAGCTTCTCCCCACTCCTAGGACCATGGCTTTCCACCGACGAGTCCCAACAAGCACTTTATAAAACAATGAAATAAAAGAAAATTTCACAGTGCATCCAACATGGTGTCATTTCAAAACTTCTGTTACAGCTGTATGTTTGTGTGTACGTGTATGTGAGAGAGTGAGAGAGAGAGAGGAGATAAACTGGGTGGGAAGGTAAAATGTTACTGTGGGCTGAGGCTTAAAAGTTTAAGAAACATTGCTTTAAGGGAAAACACTTATTCGTCAAATATTAAACAAATGCAATCAGAAACTGTACCTTATTCTGAGATATAGAAAAGAGCAAATCTTGCTCCTGCACTTTGGAAGCTGTGAATCTGCAGGGAGAAGACAAACAGTACCACTAGGACAGGATGTGAAAACCACACTGACAGAGGGCATCAAAGTGCCTGGAGGAGGAGCCACCGCCTTCCGGGACCCTAGGGCTCCTGGAGGAGGCGGTGTGTGGGCTGGGCCTGAAGCCCAGTGGAGGAGGGAGGGGAAGCCAGGGATGAGGGGAGTGGGGGGCACAGAGCTGCACAGCCTGGCGTGGGGGCCCAGGGCAAGGGACTTGCTCGACAAGGCTTGGGCAGAGAAAGACACAGGGGCCATGGTGACAGACAGACAAGAAGAAAAAGATTAAAAGGGGCCAGCCATTGACTTTATCCTGTGAGATTATTTTTGTTGTTGTGCCCCAAGGGGATGACATGGAGGGCAGCCACTTGAGAGCCAGATGTTGTTGTGTTTGTCCCTGTTTGGAGAATTTTTCAGGTTTATCTGAACATTGGCCCTGATTAAAATGTAGGATGCAGTGGAACAGTGGTCTGATAGGAACTACCCATGTTTTGATTTTCTTCCTGTCCCCTCCTTGCTGTCCAGCTAGACCCAGTAGGTGTCTGGCTACCTTCCTTGCCCACAAAGCCTTCTTGCTTCCCCTTCTCATTTCCTCTCATTATCCCTGCTGAGCACCAACCCTCCAGCTGGGGAAGGGACACAGAGGGGGAGAAGCGTTTTCTTCCTTACCCTTGGGGGCTGCAGGCAAGCTGGCTTTAGGAAGATACAGCAGGGCTGGGAGCCTGCTTTTCAGCTCAGCAAACAAGGAGTGGCTTAGGAAGCAGAAATAAAAGAGAAAAACAAAAGCAACCAAACCAAAGGCGCTAGCATTTTATTTCCCTTTTATGCAAAAACATTTTTTTGGTTGTAGATCCATAGTATAGGATCTCCCTTTTCCTAGGTAATCTCTTGGAGCCTAGTAATTAGAAAGGGACTTGGGAAATATCCAATATCCATATGTATCTATCTGAGGGCTAAAGTTTAGGGACTGGGATTCACCAACCTCGCCCCAGCTTCTTTGCGGACATCTTCCTCCCAGGATGTTTGCCTTGCTGTGGTCCCAGGAGAGTTAAGCAGGTGCGCTTCTGTGTTGTCTCGTCCTCCACAGAAGCTGGTCTTCTCCTCTGCTCCCCATACACCAAGCCCCTTTCTGTCCCTTGGCTCCTGGTAGGTTCTGCTGTCTGGAATTCCCTAGTTCTTCTTCTACACCTACCTGAGTCCTGCCTACAAGGTTTAGCTCAAATCCCACATCCTCCAGAAAGCCAGCCCACATGGAGTCCTCAGAATTCCTGAAATCTTTATGATCTTTAAATCTTTACGAATGATACAGGAATTATTCATTCCCTTACATAAAACCTCATGAGGTTAAATATGTATTACCACTGAAATCTCAGATTTCTGGAACCCAGGAACTCTAACTCTTCCTTCTGTGCCTGGCCCAGTGCTGAGTGTTTAATAGGATTTCAGAACTGAGACTTTTTTTTTTGAACAGAGTCTCACTTCTGTTGCCTGGGCTAGGGTGCCATGGTGTCAGTTTAGCGCACAGCAACCTCAAACTCCTGGGTTCAAGCGATCTTCCTGCCTCAACCTCCCGAGTAGCTGGGATTACAGGCATGCACCGCCATGCCTGGCTAATTTTTTTAATATATATATTTTTTTAGTTGGCCAGTTAATTTCTTTCTATTTATAGTAGAGACAGGGTCTCGCTCTTGCTCAGGCTGGTCTCAAACTCCTGACCTTGAGCAATTCACCGGCTTCAGCCTCCCAGAGTGCTAGGATTACAGGCTTGAGCCGCCCCGCCGCGCCAGGCCCCAGAACTGAGATTTAATACAAATATGACACAAAACCTGAGTTCAAGACCTGGGACCTTAAGAGCTTCATTTACCCAAGATACAACTTTCCCTCTTGTAAAACTAGGATACTCGTAGCACCTACCCTTTAGGGATGTCCCAAATGCTAACTCAAATGGTAGGAAAATGTTTAACTCATAGTGAGGGATTGAATATTTTTACTATAAAGTGGTAAGATAGAAGTCAAAGGGCATTCTTTTCTAGTTGCTTATTTCTGTTTATATTCAACTTTAAGGTTTCCTCCCTCCTTGTGAGATTTATTTTATTTATATTTATTTCTGAGATGTGAAACATTAAAATAGTTCCAAAAGACGAGTCAGAACAAAAAGAGATATTTAGAGAAGTCTCATTCCCTTTATTCTTTCCGTCCTGTTCCTACCATGCCCTGCAGGTAACTCAGCTCATTAGTCTCTGCTTCTTTTTCCAAGAACAAACAGGTACATGTTCTTGTTTCTTCCTCTCAAAGATATTCTTGAGACAGTTTTCCTCGGAAACCAGTTGTTAGGAGTCTGGTCATCTTTTGCACATGCTGGTTGGAAGGTGTTGGGCAGGCAGGAGCCGTGACAATGGTGTTAGTTCTGTGCAGATCCTCACATGGGTTGGACATGATGAGGATGAGCTGACATTCTTCCTGTTACTAGCTCTATCATAGTACATACCCCAGGTCCTAAAGGTGTCCCTGTGATTGGTAATGGGGCCACAGCCCAGTTCCTGCTACTCAGGAGGCTGAGGCCCAGGTTCCCTTCTGGACTGAAGCATCCCACCAAGTGCATCGTGGCCTGCTGCTCCCGGAGATGGACACAATGCCGGTGTAAGATTGGGTTTCTGGAAACCCGCCATCAATACTTGCAAAGTCACTACAAGTGCCTGCTGCACTCCTGTGACCTTCACCCATTATGGGAAAACAGTGCTTTATGCTTCTAATCTGTATTTCTTAATGAGATCTGAAGAATCAAGGTCAAAAGGCTCCTGGGTATTTCTCCATAGGATCACATTTTAAGGAGGGAAAAACCTGAGTAAATAAAAAGTCCAGCCATAGGGAGGTGGCCAGAGGAAGCGGAGTGCCGCTGCTGGAGGAATTCATTGGAAAAAGCAGTGGGAGGGGAGGACTCTGTCTTGGAGTCAAGCTGTCCACAAGTCGGCTCAGAGGCTGTGACTCACTGGGAGGAAAAGGAGTGCCTGTATTCTGGGGAAGGCTCCTTTCTCCAAACGAGCTCTGCGGCCAAGGGAGGAAATGAAGCAATCTAAGTCTGCTCAGTAGCCACGGGGCAGGCATGCCTGAAAGTCCAAGCCACCCCCACTATGCTGCTTAATATTTGCACGGTGTCCCTAAGGTACAAGCAACTCTAAAGGCACTGGGTGCTGGTGAGGAAGGGAATTGGGCCCTATTTTAGGCACGTTGCTTTCCCTCTCTGGAACTTCATTTCTTAGAAGAAGGAGTGGACTGGGCAGGGGCTGGGCCAACTCAGCCCATGGCCACGCTTTAGAAAAACTCACAGTTAGAAAAACTGCCGTCTTACCCTAAGTCGGCTTCACAAATTTAGGCTCCCTTCCTGCCCTTTGACGTTATTTGAAATAGCAACTCCTGGACTAGGGGTGACTAAGTCCCTTCCAGCTCTGGAAAAACAGTGAGTGCAAACAGGGTGAGCAGCCTGCACCCGGATGAGAGATAGATGATCCTTCGTCCCAGGATCCTAGAGACGGGGACGTGGCAGGGTGCCAGGGCCGAGCATCTGCCAGGCAGAACCGACACAGCTTAAGGAGAACTCAAAACAGCCTTTTTTACAGCCTCCTGGTGCATCCTGTCTCCGTGGTGCTGCTGCGCCAGCAAGCGGGCACCATGCCCACCCTTCAGTGGGCAGTGAGGGGGCTCGGTGCCCATCTGCCCTGTTTCCTAAGCAGGTGGTTAGGAAGATGGTGCCTGGGTGCAGGCTGCCCTCTGCTGGGCAGGCACAGACGCTTGTCTCGGAGACCAGGGACAAATCCAAGGGAAGTAGTGCCCTGGCCTGCTTCTCCACATCCGTGTGGTGGGAATGGAGGTGTGCGGGCTTCTGCCTGCCTACCATCTTCTGGGCAAGACCTGGGGCTCTCCTAGTGGTGTCAGTGCCTCCAAAAGGGTCTCTAGGAAGATAATCTAGGGTCTTGCAAGTCTGCATTAAATCAAAATACTCTTTTTGGCCTGGTGCAGTGGCTCACATCTGTGATGCTAGCACTCTGGGAGGCTGAGGTGGGAGGATCGCCTGAGCTCAGGAGTTTGAGACCAGCCTGAGCAATAGCAAAAGCGAGACCCCGTCTCTTTTAAAAATAGAAAAAATTAGCCTTTAAAATTAATTTTTAATATCCTATAATTTAAATTTAAAAAAATAAAATAAAACAATAACAAAAGGCTCTTTATAGACCGGGGGTGGTGGTTCATGCCTGTAATGCCAGCACTTTGTGAGGTCAAGGCTAAAGGATTCCTTTGTGCCAGGAGTTCTAGACCAGCCTGGAAAACATAATGAGACCCTATCTCTACTAAAAAGAAAATGAAAATGCATTTTCTGACCTTGGGCCTGACACAGTGGTATGTTTGATAAATATTTATTGAGTAAATCAATAGAACAGCAGTATCCTATAGTAGAAACTGCTCCTGTTTTTGTTTGGGAGAGTAACTTTACAGTTTATTGTCCTTCTCTATCAACTTCCTCTAACAGTTGCTCATTCCCCGATATCTACTTATTTCCAAGCCCAGGCCCCTCTGCCTGGCTCTCCCCATTCCAAGTTCATCCAACCTTGGGCTCCCCAAGGTGTCTCTCTTCCAGTTCCTCAGCCCTACCCCAGGTTCTCTCTGAGATGCCCACA